TAGACCCTACATGCTGACTCACTGTCAGACCCTACATGCTGACTCACTGTTAGACCCTACATGCTGACTCACTGTCAGACCCTACATGCTGAGTCACAGTCAGACCCTACATGCTGAGTCACTGTTCACCTTGTTATATACATCACCTGTAGTTTCTCCTTGTTGGAGGTGCGGATCATGGAGGCAACAACATCTGGCAGCGTCTCGCGGGGCAGACTGTCCAGCAGGCGTCTGAACTTGGCCACCACGGGCACAGACGTGTCCAACATCCCTAACAACTGCAAACACAAACAGTTGGGTCTGATTTAGTCCGATAAATCCTGAGAAATGTTCTAATCAGGCCTATTTTCCTGTCAGACCCTGTTCTGGTCCGGTCTGTGATGGTCTACAGGTCGATGCCTGCTTCTGGTTATTCTGAGAGTTCTGGTCAGAACCGCTGGGTTCCAGCACTGGACCTGAGAGCTGTTGTGACATCAGATTTATTCAGCTTTAATCTGCTGGAACGTGGCTGGACACATATCTGAGCATGAAGCTCTGAGGACTTATTGGAGACAGATTCCTCACATTCTGCTCACACAGGCCTGTGCAAAACTTTTAATCTGTCCATTCATTTCTTCACAGTCCTGAGAAGATGAAGGTCTCTGTCCTTCAGGTCTGGACGGTTCTGAATCAGGCTCTTCTGCAGCCCTTCATCAGCCTCTCACCGTGCTCTAACAGAACCAAACAACTCGCCTGCAGAAACCAACCTCAGGTGTCCAGGCCAGCGTACTTTATTTTGAAAGGAGAGGACAGAGACAGTGGACACTCTGAGACGGCTCCTCGCTGTCTGCAGCACATGTCTCTGCACCTGACGCCTCTGCTGCAGCTCTGAGTGTGACAATAAAAATAAACACTAAGAAAGTTCATCTGTTTTCACACAAAATAACATTTCAGGTGTTTGTTGCAGTGCATTCTGGGTAAACATGGCAGCACCAGCTCTGTTTTAAGGTTTATCTGAAGGAACAAGATGTGTGAAAAACACAATAAAGACAGACGGTAATAAGTTCTAACCATCCAACCACCATCCAACCATCATCCAACCATCCATCATCCATTCAACCATCATCCATCCATCATCCATCCAACCATCATCCATCCATCCATCATCCATCATCCATCCATTCCATCCAACCATCATCCATCCATCCATCATCCATCCATCATCCATCCATCCATCATCCATCCATCCATCATCCATCCATCATCCATCCATCCATCATCCATCCATCCATCATCCATCCATCATCCATCCATCCATCATCCATCCATCATCATCCATCATCATCATCATCA